GTGGGCACAAGGGGTGAAGGGGCGCATTCATATGGTGACTGACAAATAATAATGTACAACTGAAACCTCACAATGTTATAAACTATTATATCAATAAAAAAAGGAAATAAATTTTTAAAATTAAAAAAATTTAAAGAAAAGATAATGAAGTTTAAAAGAAAAAAAAAGTTAAAAGAATAACACAAGCCCATATAATTTCCAAACCAGAGCAAATCAAAGGAATAAACTGAACTAAAGATACGAAAGGAAAACAAAAGGAAGAAATGTAAAGCATGATACATTTAAAAATAAATATATATTTAAAATAAATATTTAAAAATACATATGTATGGGGGGTAGAAATACACACACACGTATTAACAAACAGATTAAACATTCTCAGGTTTATTCGACAAATACTTGAACATCTTCCTAGTAGTAATTTACAGAGGGAAGGAAATCTGATGAACTGAAAACAGCGATGACAGAACAAGAGCCTCAGTAGTCTGTACCTGGGGCTGCGCTGTGAGAAGCCAAGCCCTCCTTCCTGCCCTCTCCGCATCCAGGGGTGAAGCAAAGGATGCGGTGGGACAGCAGGACTGTGTCTGTCTCCGGATGAACTGCTGGGGACATCCCCAGGCACTAGCGGGGTGACTCAGTCCTTCCTAGAAAAGAGATCAGTAAAAGTTCGCAAAGAGCTCGGCCTCCGGAAGCACGGCAGAAGGGCCGTGGCCTCGCTCCCAGGGTCCCGACCTCATCTCTCTCTCCACTGGGGCGTCCAGTCAAAAGGGCGCTGGTGAGGGGCTTAACTGGATCAATCGCAACAGCCAACCCAGTATCATGTGCCACCACCGTTCTAAGCTGTTGACACGCATTGCCTCATGTAACTCAAATCACCACCCTACCCGGTCGTTACTCTCTCGCTCGCTGTTTTACAGGGGAGGAAAGTAGAGCGCAGAGGGACACACAACTCGCCATACATTGTACCGATAGCAGGAGCAGCGGCGCTTCTAAGTGGGGGACGAGAGCTGGGGGGCATCCACACTTCCGCCCTCCGCCTCTCAGCCTCCGCCGGGGCTGCCGCTTCTCCATCCTAAGCCGGCCCTAGGTAGCGACCAGTCCCACGCTCAGGCCGAAAATGCTCGGCGGGGTCGTGGGGGCGCACGGCGGACTCACCTCCCGGACCGAACAACGGTAGAGGCCTGGCGTTCCCGAGGCGGAAGTGCCTCTGACTGCAAGGCACGCCGGAACTACACTTCCCAGAAGCCCCGCCGGAACTACACTCCCCAGAAGCCCCGCGGGAACAAGCGCCTGGGCTCCTTGTTCACGGACAGAGGTCAGGAATACATTTCCCAGAATCCCCAAGAGGAGGAAGGATCACGTCCCGCTGTCTTAGAGCTTAAACAACGGTAACAAACTTCCAATTCTCGGAGTTCCCGGACTACAATTAACAGAACCTCCTTCGTGGCTTCCTGCCATTTTGCCGGACTGAAGCAGTTCTCTGACGCCAGTAGAGTTTAGCTTTTTCTCGTTGACAAAACATAATAGCAAATATTTGAAGAGTCAGTCTTTAAAGAACGACTGTAAGAAACAGATCACGTGATCCTCTACTAATAGAACTGTACCTACAACTACCAGAAAAAAAAGGGAAAAAAATGATAGCCTTTATTTTGCTGTTTTAGACACTTTTTAGATATAAAAAGAATGAAAGACCAAAAAAAAAAAATACAGTGGAGGCAGAATATATTGTAGATTTCCACTTTTGTTAATAGCACAAATAATTCAGAACTTGGCTGCTGAGGACAACTAGACATACTGAGAGCAAAAAGACAAGCTTCAGCATAGAAGCTTGTGTGATCAACTTCTCAGAGCAATTGGGGCCATTGTAATCATTCCTCTGAGAGTTTCTGAATTTGAAAGATGTATACATTATTGTTAATTAGATGTTTATGCAATGGTCACTATAAAGACTATTATTATTTGCTCAAATCTAGGATAGAATTGATGTTTGAAAGAAATGAGGGTGGGGAGAAGAGAGGAATACCTAAAAATATCCATGTAACCACTACAATATATGTCTGCATTTCTCATTTACTGAACATATATTCCTTCTTCTGCTATACACAGCTATCTCTTATGGAGCTGTCAACTTAAAAAGCAAATTCACTGGTTATTTTTACCCTCAAAGTGAGCTTATTGGGCAGTAGCCCAAAGAATTCCATTTCAAGGCATACCTGCTACGGCAAACCATAGACAAATCCAGCAAACAAAGAAGGGGAGCTGCTTTTATAGAGAGAAAGGGGGGGTAGTGAGGGGCTGTTCTAAATGAAAGCCTATTGGGGGAAAGTAGCAGTTCAGGGCAGCAACACGTGTCTCATTAGCTGAGCTGTGGTGTTTCTCATTGGCTGGGCTGTTACTGGGTGGGGAGAGAAATCTTCCTTCAGCAGTAAAGTAGTTTTACTTCCTGTTGGAGATGTAAGGGTAGGTCTCTTCCTGTTTGGTGTAATGGACCATGCGTGACAGGGCAAGAGCTCCCCCCTACAGGCCTTCCCGACTCCAATTTAGTTAAAGTTTCTTCTGTTTATTTGCACAGTGTGTGCCAGGGACTATTTCAGACTCTGGGACTCTCACTTCATCTTCAGAACTTTTTAAGGTAAATACTATTATTTCCTCTATTTTACAGTTCAGGAGCCAGAGGCAGAGAGAGGTTAAGTAATTTGCCCATGTTACTAAATTAGTAAGTGCTACAAGCGACGTTTCAAAATTTGGCGTTTGACAGGCAGAGCCTGAGTGCTAACCACTACATTAGCCACATCTTGTATAATCAACATGAACAGAATATTTAACTTCAATCAACTTTTTTTTTTCCTTCCTGACACCAGAAAGATATATCCTAACATGAAATTTAATTATTTCACCTGCATGTCTATCCAGTGTCCTCAAGAGAAGGTCCAGATGCTTTATCAAGTCACACAAACAGGAGTCTTCCATATGCTGTTTCCCTCTTCAAACCCACTTTCCACTCTACACGTCCAGCCATAGTGAATCACTTGTGCTCCTACAAAAAGCTTCTATGTATCTGCTGTCCTTCTGCCATATCCTGCTGCTCTATTCACTTTTAGGTCACAGTCTTCATCCGTAGCTTAAATATTCCCTGCTGCAGTAAGACTTCTTGTGGGTTTTCGTCTCATAGACTAATAAAAGCAGTGTGTAATAACCCAGATTACAGACTTGGAATCAGGCTGCCAAGGTTAAAGAACTATTTTGCCACTTATTTTGTGAACTCTGTCCCTTTTTTCTTCATTTGTAAAATGGAGATAACAGTAGGGTTGGTATGAGGAACTAATGAATACACAAAAGCACTGGAAACCCTGGCTGACTCATCACCGCCGTGTAAAAAGTTCGCAAATATTATCCTCAGGTAATAAACACAGGACACATAAATTAGGGATGGTTGGTTTCTAAATGTTTGCTTTCGATCATTAAAATATAACCAATAATTCTACATCAATTTTTGAATGTTGTGAAAAAACTGGTAGATTCTGCGTGCCACTGAAAGTGAGATCACAGATCACTAAAGTCTATATAATTCCCTTTTATTGTTTCCTAAATCCATTTCAGAACTTCTAGATACAATCTAACTGAGCTGCAGGCCCCTTTCAGGATGTTGGGCAGCTACACTGGCCACAAACACTGGAGAACTTCTCTTTTCCAGTGCTGCCTTGCGCTGGGTGCTAGGCACACATAAAGAATGGGACGTGCTCCCTGAAACAAAGTAGCATGCAGCCTAAGGGAGAAACAGAACAGAAACCAGGATGTGGAAGACGGTGCCAAGTCAAACCCCAAATAAAGAAATCAAATTCATAATTATTCATCTCCAAATCTCAATGTTTCTATGTCCCTTATCTTTCTTACGTAATTACCATCCTCCTAGTTGCCAGAAATGAAAATCCTAAAATGTCCACATTTGCTTTCCTTTGCTCTCCATATATAATCAATTTATGTCAATGGATTTTAAATTCTACTGACTCCATGACTGGGATTTGGTTTTTGTTTAAAATATTGCAGCTCCTGGGCCGGCCCAGTGGCTTAGCGGTTAACTGCACGCGCTCCATTTCGGCGGCCCAAGGGTTTGCGGGTTCGGATCCCGGGCGCGCACCAATGCACTACTTGTCAAGCCATGCTGTGGTAGGTGTCCCACATAAAGCAGAGGAAGATGGGCACAGATGTTAGCCCAGGGTCAATCTTCGTCAGCAAAAAGTGGAGGATTGGCATCAGATGTTAGCTCAGGGCTGATCTTCCTCACACACACACACACACAAAACATTTAAGGAAGGAATACCATGTATACTACTGCACCAAGGCATAAATGCATTAAAAATGTTAACAGTGGTTATCTCTAAATCCTGAGATTGTGAGTAATTTTGATTCTTTTTATATTTCTGTATTTCCTAATCTCTCGATAATTGGGCATGCATTCCTTTTATAATGAGAATGTAAACTATAAAACCCCAAACCACCTTCCAAACCCAATAGAAAAAGAGTTCTTCAAACCATACACCAGACTATTTCCTATGATTTTTTTTTTTTAATAATAGAGGTTAAAAATGGACTTGAGGCTCCAATTCCTTGGGTTCAAATGGAAGTTCTGCCTCTTCCTAGCTCTAAGACTTGGGCAAACAACATAAACATACCAAGAGTAAATGAAAGAAAAAAAAAAAAAGAATTTTCCTTGTCCAAAGGCTCTGTTTACCCTATCCTTTTTCTTAGAGTATTTCCATTAAGAAACCCAGTGCTTTTGGTTCCTTCCTCTAACATTTTGATATGCAAGTCAATCTTGTTAGAGACTAAGTAAGCCTCTTACCAAGTTTACAACCCAGAAGTGTTTTTCAAAGATCTGGGGTTTATCCTTTCTGAATGTGAACATCTGAGAAAATAACAATCCAGTCTCCCTATCCCTGTGGGAGTTCAACCAAGACGCCTTCCTCTGAGCTGTAGTCTACTAGCAGGGGAGCTAAGATAAATTTTATTATTCCTTCGGATCAAGTCAATTAACTAAGACTTAACGAATTTACGATGTGAATTTATCAAAAGATTTGCCGCAAATGGTGCAGTCAAGTCCTCTTATAGGAAGACAAGACAGCATTAATCTTGAGAATGTATGTACCTAGTGGTTAAAAATAGAATGGTATAAGAAGTTTGTAGCTGCTTGACTGTATAAACAGGGTGAAATTTCTATCTTTGTAATCTCTTCCCGCAAATTACCTACAATTCTATACTCTGGATGTGCTTACTGAGTCATAAGACAGCTTTCTTTTGTACATTTTGTAGAGGACTTCCTGTGTTGGGATGTTTTATTTCCCTGACACGACTTCTGTTTCCTTATATGTTAAAAATGAAGGCTAACAGCGGCACCTGCCTCATAAGGCTGTTGCGGTCATTTAACGAATTAATGCGAATAAAATGATAAGGGACTACTACCAATGACACTACTTTGGAGATGAGGCTAATGAGGCCAAGAGAGATTAAGTAATTCGCATTATGTTATACTTCTAGGAAGTCGC